TCATTCTACTTTTGACTTTTAAAAGCAATTAGATGTCTCTCTTATACCAACACTCCTATAATAGCCATATTCGAAGCATCGATATGCATTTTTAATGGCCTCTCAAAATCAGGTAGCCCCAAGACTAGAGCTAATATTACTGTTGTTTTCAACTTCTCAAAGGTTTGATGGTAATCAACTGACCATTCTTATCTTTGATTGTTCTTTGTAGGATTTGAAAGAGGAGCTATTTTCTTGCTGTAGCCCTCAATTAATCATCAATAATAGTTTATAAGCTCAAAAAAAAAAATCTAAACTCTAGTACTATCATTGGTATAGACCATTCAACAATGATTTGAATCTTTCATGGATGTATCTTCACATGTCTCTTCCCAATTAAGTGGCATAAGAACATAATCTCAGACCTTGTAAACTCATATTTTTCTCTCTTTACACACAATTCATGTTCCTTCAATCTATTCAAGACTTTCAAAATATGAATTGCATTGTCTTTCATCCCTTTATTATACATTACAATATCATTTAAATAGACAATAATAAAGCTATCTAGAAAATCATACAAGATATCATCCATAAGATTACAAAATATTACTGGAGCATTTGTTAAAGGAAACAACATAACCAAGAATTTGCATGCACAATACCTCATTACACATGTGATTTTATGGTCATCCTTTTCAACAATTCTGGCTTACCAATAACTAGATCGCAAGTCTTACTTTATAAAGCTAGAAGCCCTACATAATCTGTCTGATAAGTCTTGAATTAAAGGAGCAAGATATTTATTTTTAATTACCACTTTGTTTTGTATTTGATAGTCTACACACATGCAAAGACTCTTATCCATTTTTTTTTTTTGAAACCAAAACAGAGCACTGTAAGAAGCCTTCGAAGGATGGATAAATCTAGAATCAATCAACTCTTCCAATTATTTCCTCAACTCTACCAATTTTATAGGTGACATGCGGTGGGGAGGATGAGATGGTGGTTTGGCACTAACTTAATGCAATGATCTATAGCCCTCATTATGAGAGTTCCTTCAATCAGTTAAGGTAACATCACATCCTCAAATCATTATAGCATATTAGCAATGTCTTTCGATAATTCATTAAAGCAATTTGATTTCTCATCTAGTACTGTCACAAGAAACACCTCTATACCTTTTTTATAATACATTTTCAATGACAATAGTCTAGATTAGGCTTTCTTTACCTTTAATGGCATTTGTCCTTATGATATTGCAATATGGATATTGCAATATGGAATAAAACATGGGTAACCCATAATTGTAATCATAACTCTATTAAGATATGGATTCAAAACAATCTTGTCTTTTCTTAAGAAATCAAGACAAAAAATGATATCATAATCATCTAAATTCATAACCAACACATCTCATTTACCTCTCCATCGATCCAACATAATCGGCACATCATAGGACATACCTGTAATCTTCTATACCTTAGAATTAACCGCCTTTATAGAAGTGTAACTACTACTCAGTCCAAACCAAAATCTTTCATTAATCAATCAGCCATAAATATGTAGGCCCACACATCATATAAGTGTTTGTTACTACCCATTTTAGAATGGCAAAAGTTTCTTCGACAACTTTCGATCATTCCCTTGATTCTGTCACAAGAGAAATACACAAACTTTCAGACCTTTTAACGTTTTTCATAGCTTCCTTCAAGTGATCATTAATAAAGCATTTTTTACCCTTTTCTTTACCCTTTTCCTCTTTCTTATTAAAGTCTCAAGATGCATCAATTATTTTTGAATAACTTACATGACTTTGGGCTACACGATCTTAGAATCAATTGCATTCTGATATTTTATTATGAACAAGCAACAAGAGGTTTGAATTTTAAAGCCTCTATTATCATACTAAAATTATTTTCTCCTATGATATGTACATATTAAAAACACCATGGACCAAAATATATTATGAATTAAAATAATAAAATTATCATTTAACATACTACAAGATAGACATGTAGTTGGAGACAAGTTTTGTTATTTGATATCAAAAGACGATATTGTCATACTCCATCAAATATCATCTACAAAAATATTCAAATTTCAAAGGAAAGGAATCACATTCCTACATAAAATTCTCCTTTTCATGTTCATGGTGGTATTGGAGAACATTTGATTCTTGAAATTAACTTGATAGTTTTTTTTTTTAATCTTTTCACTATTTCTTGATTTGTGATGTAGGTTGGTTATTGTTCCAATATTATCAGCTATGATCGATGGGACAATTAAATTTGATAGTTTTATGAAAACCAAACACTAGAATACTTTGATTCTATTAAGAAAAAAGCCACAATTAGGATTCCTTAATTTTGTTTTTAAAATCCTAGCAGATTCCCGTATACCAAGCACCAAGAGTTTAATTATTGGATTTGATTCACAGCCATTAAAATATAAGAATTAATTGATGCAGTTAGCTAGTACTCATCTGTTAGCTATTTAAAAACATTTAAATACAAAAAAAAAAAGGAATCCCATTTAAAACCCGAAATTTAGCATAAAGTTTGGCTAAGGTTAACACGCAATACACAACAACTTCATGTCTTCAAGAGATACTTTACAAGACAGAATTTTCTATAAAGAGATGCTTTTTCTATTGAAGATTTTCTTTGGGGTGGTGGGCGCTTTGGAAGAGAAAGAACGGAGATTTTGTTGAAGGAATAATGTGGGAGAAAGAGGGGTCGTGAATGCTTGTATGCGTGTTCTTTTTCGAGGCCGAGAAGTGTAATATTGCAAACTATAAAAGGATATAATATGCTGACATATACATATGATGGAGCCTACATGACATAACTTCACTTGGTAAATAAAATTAAAACTACATGGCAAAAATATTTGAGTGTACATTATTTTGGGAAAGAAAGTTTGCTCAGCTACAACATGAATATCATAGCCAAGGGGGACTTAGGATGAGTTTGGAAATGTGTTGGTGATTGTGATTTAAAATGTATTTTTGTTTAAAAATATATTAAAAAAATATTTTTTATATATTTTTTACAAATATTTTAACACCAGTACATTAACATAATATGAAAATATAAAATAAAAATATTTAAATTTTAATGAAATATGGTTTGAACTAGTTGTCGAACGGGTTTTTTTTTAAAAAAAAAATATTAAGCATATTATTAATATGGCCTGATTTAATTAGGCAAAAGCTAAATGCATTTAGGACACCTGTTAATAATGCATTTATTGTGATTCGTTTATTAGTAGATTGTGATAAAAAAAATCAGATAAAATATTAATTTATACGTTAATATGTTCAGGAGTTCAAACTAAATTCTATAAATAAAAAGGAAATGTAGGTACGTTTAAATCATTAAATGATTTTTAACAAGTGTTTCAAGGACCTCCCTGTTAACCGGACTCATTTAATTATACTCCTAAGTCCACACTCTTACTTTATTAGGAGTTTGGAGAAATAAGAATTAATCTCACATGTTGATTCACTGCTGGGAAACATGGAAAATAGTGTGCATACGATTCTTATCATGGTAGGAAATGTATTGGTGTGTACCATAAATTTTAGATCAGCTTGTTACTCAACGGCAGTCATCAATTAGCAAGAGGCAAATTTCAATAAAAAATAAAACAAAAAAAAGCCTGGTATATATTATCTTTTGGCATCGTTTGGAGTATTTGATATGTTAGAAATATATGATTTGCTAGGAATGATTTAATCTTCAATAACAAGATGGTTGGAGACTACTCTAGCAAATTTCTCTTACACTGGTAATTAAAATTCTTTTTCGAAGTGGAGATGAAACTCTCAGATGAACAAATTAAAATAGATATAGCTGTACAGTATTTCTCATTTTAGATCATAAATCTTGGACTGTTTTCTTTGCTATCTACTCCACTATTATCTAAAGAAACATATTTATCTCACAGCGCAAGGGAGTTTTCCAGGGAAATGCAACCAACCTTGTTCTAGGAGCATGTATTAATCTTGCTTTGAGAGATCTTTTTTTCATACCAACTACCAAGTACAGGGTTATAAATTATGTATATATCTACTATTGCCAAAAAGTTTGATAAAAAATAAGTTAAGATATTAACTTTTAGGATGCTTGAGGTGACAAAATAAACTAAAATATGTGGTTCCTTTTGATAAAATCTATGCTTGGGAACATGTATCTCGTGTTCTTGTCAAAACAATCGCAAGTTTTCCTGATGCAGAATAGACGAAGGTACGTATGGGAGTTAAACCATGTGGCTCTCGATGATAGTTTGGGATTGAAGAAAAAGGTGGACAGATATATTGGGTCATGATGGGATATTTACAGCAAGATTCCTTCGTCTTCAAACGAGGTCACATGGTCAGACAAGCTAGCCTTATGGAGAAGAAAGAAGAGGAGATGATAGGAGGAAAATTGAGGAGATTAGCAAGTGGATGAAATATAATTGACGCAGCGTATGGCGAAGATTACGTTCACTGGCTGCATGAGTTACCTAGCACAAGCACACTGAAACGGAGGAAATATTGATAAGGAGAGAGTATATACTAGCAAATATATAGAAATTAAACAAGTGTAAGAGAGGAGAAGAAAGGGAAAGAAATTTGGTAGATAAAGGTCATGGATCCATTGTCAATTAATTAAAGATTACCGAGGTGGTTTGTCATAAATAGCCAAAACAGATACTGTAAAGAAAACCTATCTGTTTGTGTACTTTAATTTGGAGATAATTCACACAACTACGGGTCAACACAGTACAAGCTCGCAAAGAAATATTCAACAGTTCAGGTCTTGAATGAAAGGCATAGATCCTGGCCACAATAGCTATCTTTTCCCTTTTCTCTTGTGCCCGTATTGTATGAACTTCTTTTCCTCAGAAAGCATTAAATATTCATTTATTTCTACAACCATGAACTGTATTTTGTTTCCCCACAGAGATATGTTTCTTCTTCTTCCTCTTCCTCTTCCTCTTCTTCTTCCTCTTCTTCTTCTGTTTTTCCCCCCCGTTTAAAGCTTACTTTGGCCAACAATAATAGAGGGCCTAGCTATTAAAGGCCTTCAATGAATCTGTAAAAGCTTGCAGGGTGTAGGTACTATGAAATATGAATTATTTGGCCTAAAAGGAATACATCCGCATGCATTGAATGCTCGACAAAGCAAATGAGGAGGTGCAACTCCTCCCAATAGCACTGCAGCTATGACAGAGACAAACCCTACAGAAAACCTCTCCGACATCACCAAAAAACCCCAACCAGCCAGCTAGATCACTCACAGAACACACCCATCAGTAAATATTTCTTTAACAATTGACACCAACAAGTTATCCAATAATACCCTCATACTTATGCATCAACTTTAATTAGTTGTATAATTTATACGTATTAAGAAATATAGCTGATTACATTTATCAAATTAAACAAATAAAGATCACTATCACCGGAGGAATTGTAAGGCAAAAAAGAAGAAGATGAAGAAAACGAGCTGAAGAACTTGAGCCATCGATGATTCGAGAAAGTCTTACATTATTTTATTAACAGCTTACAGAAAACATAGCACAAATTAAGCAAAACTCGTGATGAAAAAAAAAACACTTAAAAAAGCTGAACAACTTACAATTAATTAGCTTTCTTTCACTCTATCAACGCACAAAACCAAAGAAGTACTTTCGGAACAGCCCTGTGGACACTCCTTTTCTTTTAACACATGACATCCTTGAGAAGCTTGTACCTGCGTGTAGTAGGCCTTGGAGAAGGAATCCCACTTGGGTTCTTTCCCTTTTGATCACTACTAGTAGTGCTATTCTCTTCGCGATCATGTTGCTTGATTTTATGATCACCTGAATACTCTGATCGTTTTGTGACTAGTGTTCCGCTATCATGTTCAGCTACTGATTTCTTTGAAGAGTTTCCATGTCTTGCATTTCTCTCTTCACTTTGACACCAATCACACTGTTCAATTGGCTCTGAAAATTCGCCGTAGTAATTGCTACAATACCTATATATATATTTTAAGAGAGAAGAAAAAATCAAATTTTCAACATATGATCATATGATGAGATGGTAAGTATGCCCATGATTATGATGATTAGGTGGTAGTATTGGTAGTTGGTGCTTGGTGGGTGTGGCGTGGAAATCCATTTTTCTTTTTCCAGTTTACAGTAGGATAGGAAAGATAACTTAACCTCAGTGATTAAACCCAGGAAGAACAACCCAGTACTTTAAAACCGAAGAAAACTTGCCTGGGGAAATCTACCTTTGGGTGAAAAAGAGATTAATATTCCACTTATGGGCAGCTATCAAACTAAGCTGATGGTGATGATGATGATGCAAAGATTGAGATATGTTTCCATAGACGGACATGTATGATCATATATAATTGTGTATGATGCCATGATGGTGGATGAGGAGCTAGGTAGCTAGAAAAGGGAAGAAAAGAAAGAAAGCATTACAAGTGTTGAAAACGGTTGCGACATTTGTTGCAACGGAAGAGTTTGTCAGGGAAACCAACGTCGCCGCACATGCAACATACTGTTTGAATATCAACCATTTGATCAAAGCTTAGCTTTATTCGATAAAACTGAAAATATAAAAAGAACCCCAGAGAAAAAAATGAGAGAGATTTTGAACTAGAAGAAGAAGAAGAACATGTTACACGTATATAAACAGAAAGGAGGAGGGAGAGAGAGGTGGGGGGTGGGGGGCAAGAACACTGGGTTTTGAGGCGGTGTGGGAATCCCACGGAAGGAAAATAATTGATAAATAATTATAGAAGACAGATCAAAGAAAAGAAATATATACACAGGGAGACCAAAGGTAGCTTGCAGTCGTTTTCAGTTAGGAGAAAGAGAGTGAGAGAGAGAGAGAGAGATGTGAACCTTAAATTTTAAGATGGAAAAATGACAATTGTGTCCTCTACTGAATTTGCTTGCTTTAATTTTATTTCTTACCTTAATTCTTTTTTCCTTTCTTCTGTTTAGTTCTGGTTGATGCTTCTGCCTTTTATCTTTACCAGTTATAATTTGTACCACGCGCTTTCCCACCGGTGTTATTAGACCTGGACGATTCACGATTCAAGATTTGATTTTAACGATGTTTGAAGGGTTGGTTTGAAGTGTAATGATAATTTTAAAAAAAATTATATAACACATTAATATATCTAAAAATATAAAAAAATTTAAATAAAAAAATTAAATATCTGAAAAATACAGCTTAAATTACATTCTTAAACAATCTATTAATAAGAGTTAATCTAATTAATTTTAAAAAATTTGCTAGTTAATCCGTAACTTGGTAGATTCAATTAAAATTCAATTTGATTTTTTAATATGTTTAATAAATAATATTATTTTAATTTTTTTAAAATAAAATTTAAATTGATTTAATTAACTCAAATTAAATTAGTTAACCCGTAATCACAAGCTAAAATTAATAATTTTCCATGATATTTACTCCTCTTTGATTTTTACATACTTTTCAAATTAATTTTACATTATTTATTTTATCTAGTCAAAATAATTAAAAGATTAATTTTCATCCAAAAAATTTATATATACTCCAGAGGTATTTAAAATTCAATTACATTTACTAAAAATCATCCGAGATTTTCCGATATTAAAATGGTTATTTATAATATTTTTTTTTATCTATTAGACGTATTTTTATAATTATTTTTTATAAGAAATATTCAAATTCAAGTGTACGGAAAATTTTAGCCCCGAGAAAACAAGATAATCAAGGATAACAAGAAAAACTATTTTTGTTTACATGCTTTATTTAAAAAAAGAAAAAAATATATTATTATAGAATAGTCTGAAAGGAGTAGAGTGGATACACGTGCCATCCAGGGAGAGTGGATTTGTGTTTCTCAGGAGGTAAAAATGGAAGGGAGAGAAGTCTTAAAAAAAAAAAAAAGGATAATTGGTCAACGTCGTACTGTTGTAGTATGTAACAAAGGATGGGATATAGTTGTCATTATATCAAATACCTTTAAACGAGAAGTCTATAACTCCATAGCCATTATCATAAAAGCTGCTCAATTACTTTTGTTACTATGCTTCGCACCTGCATGATGCACGCTTCAATTGTTGAAGTTTTATGCTGAGGTGGCATCATGGGTGTGTTTTTTTTTTAAAATGTATTTAAAATTCTTTTAAAGATATATTTAACCTGGAAAATATAAAATTATTATTTTTTAGTATTTTCATAATTTTATAATAATATTAAAAAAACATTAAAAAATATTTCTAAATAAAAATATTTTTAAAAAATATCATGCATTATAATTCCAAATAAAATTTATGTTCAACTAATGTTGTTGTAGCTGTCCAATCTTGTTATTAAGATTGAAAAATAAAGTTATTAAATATTGATTTAATTTAAATTTTGAGTTTTAAATGAGTTGAGGTGACTAAATCGATCAATAAAATCTATTACATATTTTTAAAAAAAATCTAAAATGAAAACTCGCGGAGAAGGGGATCATAACTGCTATTGAAGCCGAGAAAAGGTGAGATTACAAGCATCCAAACTTTCGAAGAGGCTGCCCACCTATGCTTAAAGAAAGAAGGTCAACGAGTCTTCTACTTATTTAATGGTCAAGATTAATTAGGAGACAGGACTACCGTGTGATGGAGAACACCGTAGTTAGTGAAAGCTGATAAGCATCACGCACGTGGGGCATGGCTCTTTCCATCACAGAGGAGAGAGGACGCTTTGTTGCCCTCCAATTAATAACTTAATTAATTGGATTTCTTAACCAACTGTGCAAAGAAATTAGTAGTTAATTGATTGATAAGTACTTTGATGGCATGGCTTGAATTATAGACTTTTCTATTTCAGAATCACTGAATTGAATTGAATTAATTTAAATTTGTAAATCCAAAGTTGTTCAAATTAGCATTAGTGGGAGCCATGAATTAAAAGATTTTGGTGCCCATATTAATTTATATTGTTTGTGCTCAATTAGTATAAGTGGGAACATTAAATTAGTAGATACTTTGAGCAAAGATCATACTTAGTCAACTCTAAACATTAATTAATTATATCTTTATTTAATTATAAGTATCTTGAAAGAGTAGCATACTAACTTCACCAAAAGTTTCTCTTATTAAATTTATTGAATCCATAAGATTCACTAATAAAATCCATTATATAGTGAATGAGAATTTTTTAGAAATTAAATTTAAATAAATTATTATTATGTAAAATCAGGTTGATCATCTTAAGGATGTGAAATTTTGATTAATTTTTTCTATATTGTATAGGAGGTCAAGCTCATCTTATTCTCCCTCGTCTTCAATCTTCACTTAGAGTTTGGTTATTATTTAAAAACAAAAAATATAAAGATAATAAGATAAAAATGTATTTAATTGAAGAGAAAGAGGTATAAAATAAAATTTATCTTTCTAAGTGGATTTATTTATTTTTAAAATAAAAAAAATAGGAGATGCATGCCCCCTAGCTCCATGCATCTCCATAAATCCCGTCTTTTTTATTATTACAACATATTAATTAAAAAATATTTAAATGATGAAAAAATACTTGTACATATTCAACCCCATCACATTACTTGAACATGTTGTGTAATCTCTTTCACGTCTTTTTGGCATTCAAAGCCTTTTATAAATAGATTATGCCTCTACTCCTCCCTCTTGATAGCACTTAACAAGAACATGTAGCTAGCTAGCGAATGCCGCCTTTATTAAATTTTTAATATTGTGAAAGAGAAGTGATCATGGTTATTAAACCATGGCCACCAGCTGACGAAGAATTAATGAAGTTGAAGGATATCCAACTTCACGTGTCATGTATGCTTTTGTGTAGCCATGGTTGTCGCCATGCTTGCTCTCTTTTATTGAACAATTGTAGTTTGTCTTCATTTCTCTTTATGGCCAGTCTTTTTCTAAGAAATTGTCAAATCCTTGTAACTTTTAGTCTTCATCGAGACGGCTATCTCCTGTCTAGTTGATCAAAGGCTAAAGGAATTCCCTGATATACTGCTTTTTGTTAATCGTATTGATGAGCATCAAATAAGTTGCCATCCTCGGTTTTGTGTTGCCTAGCCTAGCACAGCTAGATAGGCTGGGGTTGGGTTGGAAAGAACATACCATATATATAGAGAGAGACTCACACACACGCTCTGGTAGCTAGGCTAGCATTATCGTTCTTCTAGAAAAAGAAAAGCCTAATAAATTTGGCAAAAGAGAGATTTTTCCAAACACTCAATTTTAACATTTCATTGCTAGCCACTCCCAAAATATTTTAAAGTTTCTCAGAGGAGGCTAAGATTAATTATGATTATAATTATAAATAAACATCCCATTTCAAACGGGGTTTATTTTATTTTAGTCTTGGATTTGTTCGGAAGTATATTATGGTTATAATTACCTTTTAAAGTATTTTTAATACTGAAATATATTAAAATAATTCAAAACACATAAAAAAATAATTTTTAACATAAAAATTTGAATTTTTATAAGATGCGGTCCGATGCCAATGAACAGTAATATTTTCTTCAGGTTATTAATTAATACATATTTATATGTGTAAGAAAGTGCATCCTCGGGGAAAAAAAGAAGGTGTAATTTTAGAAATGTATATTGCGATATTAATGTACTTTGAAGGCAGACGGGAATAATACCATAACCCCTCCCACAGAGCCCTAAGTGAAGGTGATTGGTAACCATGTGATTAATAAAAAGAACAATGCAAAGCTATTATGAAATAAAATCCTTTTCTTTACTCTCCAAGATGATCACTGAAAAATACTAAAAAAAGGTAATTCTGTAAAATTGGGAGTTTCATATAACCTTTTGTATCCCAGGAAAACTATACAAGGCCCCTTTTAGAAATTGTTTTTAATTTGGCCCTCCCAAACCCAATATTCTGACTTTATTCCTGGATATTAGAATCTAATTATTTTGTATATTAATTAACACTTCACTATCTTTTTTTTGTTCATAATTCAGTCAAATATGTATACATATCAAATAACTATCTCAATTAAAAAAAATTTAAGTCAATAGGTAAAAATCCAGAAATAATGATTTTATATTAACGTCTTAATTATATACTCTCTTACGTAAAAGTTATTTCTCCGTAAACTTCCACTTCTCTTTAAACTGCATAGTCTAATACTAGCTAGCTTGTAAATCTTGATATCAGATTTATTTTAATTAAAAAACTTATTATGTTAAATAAAAGCTCAAAAATTATTTTATGTTAACTCAATAACAACAGTACCAACGAAACTTAAACTCTTACAAATGTAAATTTTACCTAGGCATCAAGATATTGAAAGGAAAAAAACGTGGTGACAAGTTGGGTAAATCGAAGAGAATCACATTTCTTATTTGATTATTTGTTAGCCAGTAAAGGCATTGCATCAGGTTCTGTGGATGCGAGGAGGGGGCAGATGCAAGTGGGGCCGATGGACACTGATGGTGCGATTGTGATGGAGGCCGAAAAAAGGCTTAGCTAGGTGGATTTGGCAAAGCTAACACCTGCTTTTAGCGGTTAGGAGGGACATTGGCGATTGATGACAAAAATTTAAATTATTTTTTACATTTCATAGCCAAAGCTAGCACGGTTATCATCGTTAACTATAACTGTTTTCATCCCTACGAGATGTATATAACCTTCCTTACATTTTGCAACTTGCCATCATCAAGGCAATCACATATATGTATTCGTCTACAATTATAAGAAAACCATTCATAATCTTAGGAAAAGAAAGAATTATATATATAATGGAAGAATTATTGAAGCACTT